TCTGACCTGATATCTATCCCAGACTTTTGTATAGTAGTTGTAGAGCGTTCTTGGGGCACCCCCATGCAGGCCCCCTTATAAACAATAACACCCCTATGTTCTTGTCAATTCAACCTACAGTATGTTTTGAAAACCATAACCTAAACCCTATAATACATTTAGAAATTAAAATAGTGGTGTTGGAACAAAGAGATGTTGAATCATAGGGGTATCAAATTTAAACACACAATGAATCATTATGAATGAATGAATGTCCCCATATATGAATACTGTCTAATGTATGCACTCAGTATATGGTACTAGTATTACTATTAGTAGTAATACACTTGCTGGATATGTATGTTCCATGCTCTTTGTTGCTGTAGTCTTCATTAATTTTTTTTTATTGACTTAAATTGTCACAAAATATAATGTCAATCCGTCTTAGCCTTCTTGAGTTATCGTGTTCACACACACACACACACACACACACACACACACACACACACAGACACACACACACACACACTTACACACACACATACATGTACACTTACACACACACGCACACACGCACACACACACAAACACTCACACACGCACACACACACGCACACACACACAGACACACACACACACACAGAAACACACACACGAAAGCCAACGAAAACATAACCTTCTTGTCAAACGTAAAAAAGGGGGTCCAGATTTTGTGAGAATTGTGAGAAATTGTAAGAAGACGACCGTCAAAATCGTACTCGTAATTCCAAACAATTAAGGCGGCCATTTCAGGCATTATTCAGGATGCTTACGCGTTGACCTTGTCAAAATCTCGACCCCTTTCAATAAACTACATGACAGGAGAATGTGGGAAATGCGGTGCCTGGGGTAGACTCTAGCTTACAACAACTGAGGCTTGCTTATACTCCACACCTATTAACCAGTACTGGTTGGTTCAATAATGCTGGACTGGTGAAAACAGAGTCTGAGGGAAAGACTGTACCTTGGTACACACATGTACAGTTTTTAATAGGGAGTGAAAAAAAATAGTCATTCTTTTAATTGTCGTAAACTTTTCCTAACTTTTTACTTTACGTCTGTGTTGCATCTCTAGAAAATATGAAACTCATTTCTCTGTTCACCTTTATATTACAGACTATAGACTGATAATGTCCTTGATGGTTCTTAAATTTTGAAGAACTTTTGTATGAAGGTGGATACTAAACTACAACTGTGTTCCAACAGGTCGGTAGTCATTCACAAATTCTTCTATTACAAGCACAGCCAATTTCTGTGAGTGTTGTTATATGGAGTACTCATTCTCAAGTCACCAAGTGAAAATTAAAGCCTTTAGAGAACATTGACGAACACAAACCTACTCAAACCCAGCATATAGACTAGAGACCATTAGTCTAGCCATATATTCTGTAGTTTGATGCATACATATATATTGTACTTACATGTAGGATTATTCATACATGCATTTAGCTTTGTTCTTTGATTGTAGAAGACCATATAAAAGTCCCTGTACTTTTTGTTGAGTCAATTAAGAATCATTCTATAAAAAGTTGATGGCAAGGACAAGAACAAGAGCAACAAATTCTAGATTTGCTACTGTGTGGAAAGAAGATTGTTTCTTGATAAAAAGAAACCACAAGAAACAAACAGACGAGCTAAAAAACTGGGCCAAAGCAAGCGCAGGAATTTCCTTGCGTGACTGGCACAGGAACTGTGCAGGGGCCTCGGTGCGATGGGGCGATACAGAGGCGGGGGATTACATTTCACAACACCTGCCGACAGCCCCAGGCCGACAGGCAAGGCCGCGCGGGAGGAAGCTTTCTGTCAGAGCTGGATTAGTTTTGTCAAAATACAGACGGAAGGAAATTAGGGGAGACTTGTAAATCTGGGACAGGGTGAAGGTTAGTGGCTGAGTAGTGCAGGGGAGACACCTAGTGGTCGGAATGTAGTATTGCAGGGAGTGGTGATGAAGGCAGTTCTTAGTTTTGTCAAAATACAGACGGAAGGGGCGGTGGGCAAATTAAGGGCACTTGTAAATCTGGGACAGGGTGAAGGATAGTGGCTGGGTAGTGCAGGGGAGACACCTTGTGGCTGGAATGTAGTATTGCAGGGAGTAGTTAATTAAGGCGGTTTTTAGTTTTGTCAAAATACAGACGGAAGCAAATTAGGGACGACTTGTAAATCTTGGACAGGGTGAAGGTTAGGGTGGTTTGCAGTGCGTGCAGGGGAGACACCTAGTGGTCGGAATGAAGCACTGCAGGTAGTCACCTTACCTTAGCAAGAATAGTGAGTAATTATCTGTAGGCTCCTGTTATGTGGTATCATGTGTTTGATAATGAGTGTTAAGATTAACTTTAAGTCCTAATTGAAAAACTTTTGTTTGAGCCTTTACTTATTCATACCTATTGAGAAACTTAAATTGGTCTGCTGGCCACTTTTTATTGATAATTGAGACCATAAGGGCATAAGGGGAAAGGTAAGGGTAAGACAAAATATAACACAGATACAGCAGTTGTATGATTGAAGACCTATCAAAAGCATAAATAGGAGTGAAAATAAATCCATACATACATATCTGCAGGCAAATATTGGAGAAGATTTTACCACCCTTTGTGTTATCTACTCTGTGCATTCCCTACAACTTTTATCCTTTAAAAAAAAAATTCTATCTGATCTTAATGTCATTTTTGCCATTCCAGTCAACAGGTGTTCATATTACTAATCTGTCATCAGTTGATTAGCAAAGTAAACAAAAGAAATATTTTACTAAGTAAACAACTGCCAATTCAAACAATCCAGCATTCAAGAGTTACAGTAGTTAAAGCATAACGATATATGAAATACTTTTAATTTATCCAAAGGCTAATTTTTGTTTGTACTTTTTTGTGTGTTTAGATGGTGATTAAGTTTAGATACCAAAGTAGAGCAATATGTAATATAAAGTAAACCAAGCAACTGAATAAATTCTCTGTAGAGTCAGTCACCAATGAAAGATATTGGATGCTATCTGAATTTTCCTATATGTGTCAGTTCTTGAAGACCTAACAAAAGTCCACATACTTTTGTCATGTCCATCAAGTATCCTGTCATAGTAAACAATTGGTGGCAGAAATCATAATTATACCCAAACGATAAAGCCGATAACATATAGGCACCACTCTTAATCCCACAACCTTCCAAAATAAACTTAAGGAATGCAGGCTTCGTATTAAAAATCATACATGCAGAAAATAGATGTAAACATATCTAAAACCCTGCCTTTATTCTAAAGTAGACAATCGAAGCATTGTTCAATAACTTTTTATCAAGAGTCAGAAGACCAAAAAGATGTGACAGATAGTGAAGGCTCCATCGTTAATCCCTCATCAATGACCAGACTTAACGAGCTGTCTCCTTCCTGTCATGTCTTAATGCCTTAATGAGGTAATTAGCTAATTGTGCCCATTGTCCACCTTTGTGGGAAACAGAGGGAGAAACTATAATGAATTTCTCCCGGGGGGGTTCAGAGATTTCTTGATAGGGTGACGACAAAGGTGTTTGGGTGTGGGTTTGATTTAGATATGCTGGACAACTGTTTTTGTGTCCATACTACAGGAGAGTATTTGTTTTACGTCGATGAAGGTTAGACATCCAGGTAATACAGTACACCAAAAAGCAGTTACTCAAGCAACTAAGTTTTCAAAAATCATATCCAGTTGCTTGAGTAACTGCTTTTTGGCATATAGTATAATTTGTTTTAAGTTAAAACTTTTGATCCAACACAACAAATTTCTCTCACCTAGAGCTTTTGACCAATTATAGTATTGTTTTGATTGCTGAATTTCTAAACTTTAGCCTGCCATAGTTTATAGTGACACATTAGGTTGGGAAACAACATAAGGTTGTACAAGTCACCTTACAACTATTTGAAATTACTTTCTGAAATGATTGCAAAAGTCTGTAAAATCAGTGTTTAGGTTAAACTGGGGTATACTTTCTGCATTAGTAGGATTTATTTTTCAATAACTGCAGGTTCAATTTGTGCCATAATACAGCTTGGGGTGTTGTATAAAGCAAACCCCCCAAAATATGACTGACTGAACATATTGTTTCTGACATCTTGTAGCCTCACATAAAGAAGAGCACTTGGAAGTTGGCACTGTCCTACATTTGTAATATTTGTATTTGTAATTGGCAACCTTGGCGATTACTTTCTTAAGCACTCTACAAAAGTGCTTAAATATGAATTACGTATGGGACTGCAGGTTGGAAGCAATTAAATTACATCGTAAGTCACAAATATAGGTCAAGTAGGCAGTACAGGCAGATTGCATAGCTAAGACCTAGATCTACATGTACTGTAGTAAATTGAGACTTGTGATAGATTAAAACATATACATCAAGTCAAAGATGTGGGTCACAGAGGTAGATTGCATGTCTCAAGTAGACAACTCAATATCTAAGAAATAGATCACCTCGTAGGCATGAAGTTGTAGTAAATGGCTACTTGCAAAGGTGATCATTATATAATATTGGATTCAAACATAATCATTAGTCAAAGATACATGTATAGGTTAGGGGAGCATTGTCAGTTGATTGCATGTCTGCCCCAACTTTCGTAGTCAACACTGAGAGGTGATATACAGTAATACAATGATTACTTCAACACCTACAGATTGTGGTTGTCCTTTATATTGTGAAGTTGAATGGAGGGACAGTACATGATTGTAGTGAGGAACCATAATCCACTGTGAGGCCAGAGAAGTGTTTGAAATCCCCAATCATAGATTCAAGCATCGAAAATCTATTTTATGAGTTTCTACTAGACCTAGCTTAGTGACCTGTGAATATCAGATCCTTAAAAATCGTGCAGTGATCAAGACACTGGTTGAATTACTAAAATACTCACAACTAACACCTGCTTTCAAGACAGCTTGATTTCAATAAGGTGGTTTAGGAGCTTGTGGGGGTAAGATTGTGGCTCAACCCTGCCCCCTAGCAAAAAAGGAGTGAACTGCACCCACCTCAAAGTCCTTGGGGTGGAACATGTTCCTGATGATCATCACTCGCTCGTTTTTGGGGCGGAGTGGCTCTTTTCTCTCCGGTCTCCAGTCCAGAAGTCTGGGGAAATATGATTCAGAAATGATAAGAACAGCACAAAAAAGACTGGATATTGGGGTTTTCTTAGACACAACAAGTAACCTCTCTTACCTGCTTATGTTGGCTACAGGTACATACATTTGAAGATGGGGGAAGATCGTTTGCTTTTTATATATGGCCCGTTTTTTAGCGACAAAAAATGGGCCATATATAAAAAGCAAACAATCTTCCCCCATCTACCTCTGCTTGGAGAGTAGCAGTTACAAGCATTGGCAAGGTCACCACAAAAACTGAAAATAAAATCCTGAACATTTCAAGATGTGTCTAGTTAAAGATTTATGGTACAAAAACAAAACGTTACCTTTCTTGCATGTTTTTCTGTTTCTTCTGCTTCTTTTTCTTCTTCTTGAGCGCGGGGTTGTACGTTCCCTTGAGCTGGAACTTGGCGGGTTCTACGTGAATGGTGTGTCCCCGTAACTCATAGTTATCCAGGATCTGTAGGGCCAGATCTACAGACTCTTTCTGTAACACAGACGGAGAAATATAGAATTAGTCTTGTTCAGAGTTCTTTGATAGCTTTAAACAATGTCTAGATTTAGATGTTCAAGGGTTAGGTGTAACAAGTCGATCGGTGTAATGTAGCCAGCTGCCACCACGCCGTGTGCCTGTGAAGCTAGTGTGTTACACCGAAAGGCAGTTATACCGGCTATACAGATACAGATTTGTTCACAACCACTGGTCACAGTATTACACACTACACTGAGGTTCCAAGGTGGTCTTGTGGTGTGTCCTCGTAACTTTTAGTTATCCAGGATCTGCAGGGCCAGGTTTACCGACTCTTTCTGTAACACAGACGGGGAAACATAGAAGTTACTTGTTCCCAACCACTGTTGTCTTGGCCACAGTACTGCATTCTGGTTCTGGATTCAAATCCTTTGCAGGCCCCAACATTGTGCACTTAGGAAAGGCACTTTACACTTATTTGCACACTTTTGCCATCTATCCATCTATCCATCCTCCATCCATCCATCCATCCTTCCTTCTATCCATCCATCCATCCATCCTTCTATCCATCGATCCATCCATCAATCCATCCTTCCATCCATCCATCTATCCATCCATCCATCCATCCATCCATCCATCCATCCATCCATCCATCCTTCCTTCCATCCATCCATCCATCCATCTAAACAAACAAACAAACAAACAAACAAACAAACCTTGAGATAGCAGCACCTGGCGTCCCCCTTGAGCTGTCCGTCCTGGTCTCGGTATAACTTGAACTTGGGCCGTCCTGTCTCCGTGTCCCACCAACAAACAAACAAACAAACAAACCAACCTTGAGATAGCAGCACCTGGCGTCCCCCTTGAGCTGTCCCTCCTGGTCCCGGTACAGTTTGAACTTGGGCCGTCCTGTCTCCGTGTCCTCCATGATGATCCCACACTTCTGCATCATCTCCTGAAACTCCTCATCAGTGATGTCTGTCGGAAGACCTGCAAAACAACAAAAACATGAACATCAGATGAACAAAAATTGCTTTCAAGTACTAGAGTTATCAACCAAGGATTGAGGTGTTCAAGGACTCATTCTTTTCTAGAACTATCGCAGAGTGAAACTCGCTGTCACCAAGTACAGTAGTGGCATCAGAGAGTTAGAAGTTCAAGGGTTACGTGTAACAAGTTGTAATGTAGCCAGCTGCCACCGCGTCGCGTGCCTGCAGAGATGGTGTGAAGGGCAGTTATACCAGCTTCTTCTTCTTCTTGAGTACTCTCTAACCACCCCTACTGGGGTATCACTGAGAGGGGGTATCACTGAGAGCTATACAGATACAGATGTTGCTCTACTTCAAATGTCTAATAGTATTGAAAAGACCTAAAAAACAATGAATCAACCAAAAATTGATCAAATCAATTAAGTGGGATCTTTTGTCTTCCATTGGTCCAGAAAAAGAAGCCATGACTCAAACCCACAAGTTAGAATTTAGAGTCTGTATTTGGACTACTGGTAGTTCACATATCATTGTTCTTCATTGTTTGTGTTTTTTATAGTTACTAACAGTGACTTGCAAATAGCCCTCGAACAATACTTTGCAATAAACTTGTATTCATCATTAAAAGTAGAAAAAGATGTCAAAGAAAACAAATACACGTCTTGGACACCTGACATTAGCAATTTGCAACACAAAATAAGGTTAACTCAAATCACAAAAAATCCTAGATATTGTAAACTTTTGAGTAACTGACCAGAAACATAAACGTTTGTATTTTTCCCTTCGTCCACATCAAACCACTCCGGTTCATTTGCTTTCCTCTTCTCTCCCGGCTTCAGGTCCTTCTTTGCTTTCTTCTGTTGTTGTTGTGATTGTTGTGTTGTTGATGCTGATTGTTGTTCTGTTTGTTGTGTGGATTCTCCAACGCCGTAGTTTGCTTGGTACGCAGCTATGAAGTCATCTGTGATCTGAAAAAAAAGATATCAAAATCTTATTTTTAGTCTTAGTTTTTAGTGATGATTTATCGATTGTACTCAAACATCTGGGTAGAGATTAATGTCAGTCCCCAACTTCTTTACCATTTTGCCTAAGTTTACTTAGTACATTCAGCCGACATGTTTTTACAGTGTACCTGTGAAGTTTGGGCTTCCTACCATAATAAGCATAATGCCTTTCAAACTGCACCTTCATGTGTAAAGAAATGTGGGCATGTAATTTTTTTTTTTTTGCCCGCCCGCTCCATTATTTTTCTAGAAAAATCCGTTAACCAAGAAATTAAATTGGTGTGGTCTTAAGTCAAACTTATTATACTCCTTGACCCTTTGGATTCAGCCTATAGCACATTTAACTGACATGTTTTTACATTGAAGAGTTGTCCATGTTTATCAATGTGTACTCATGCACTAGTTCTGCTTTTTAACTATTTATGGATTTTAGACTATATTGTACATTAGGCCACACCAATTTAATTTGTTGGTTCTCGAATTTTTTCCGATAAAATATGAAGCGACAGGGCGAAAAAAAATAAAAACAGGTCTAGGCATCCTATTATAGCCCCAAATGCTACGATATGAGCCATGAAGTCAACAAAAAAGGCTGGGTTAAAATTTAAAGTATAAATTTTGAACTTTTAATCAAACCACTGCATTGATAGATGGAAAAACTGTAACAACTAGGAAGAAAAGGAATTTCCTCAACTGTTGGGGTCAATATATGAGCATTTTTGAGTTGATTCAGAACCAGTGAGTTTTTTTTTTTTTTTTTTGCAAATTAGAAAAAAATGAAGAGGCGAATCCGAGAACCAACAAATTAAATTGGTGTGGCCTTATATTAAAAAAATTTAATTGTCAATTTCCTTCTCTTATCAATGCTTTAATGTACATGTACTAATGTCACTGCCAACACAATTCAGACTACTACCCATCCGACTCACATATAAAGTCTCATAGTTAGGAGTCAAAAAATGTCTGGCTCATCTACTTGTACTTTGTACAGACCAAACATTGCTGGTAGACTTTGGACATCACAAGCCAGACACGAAGACAACAGAACATGGGAGATGCCATAGTTTCTGGTAGGAGGGGGTTAAGGCATTCTATGGTTGCTAGAAGAGCTTTTTTCGTCCACTTACAAATGTAAGTGACTGACACTAGTACTGTGTTAGACAATGGCAGCTCTAAAAGATCATTATGACATAAACCAACTGCTATTGAGCTTCAACAGTATTAAGTAATGTGTCTGAAAAGTGAAAGAATTATTCTGTTCTAAACCCTTCAAGACTGTAAAGACTTTCCTTTTCAACATGAGGTCTGGGCAAGAAAATAACATCGAGAACAATTGAAGGCTTACATAAACATGTAAAATAATAATAATAGCAAACTTAATGTCCCTTGGATAGTTCTACAAATTTTTTTTTGGTATAAAACCAATAAACCACATTGAATATATCTATGTAACACAATTCACATGTGAGTAGAGACATCACCTTTGTAACCCCCTCAGCAGACAGTGGGAATGGCCTTTACACGCCCCTAAAGGTACATGTAAGCACTATTCCGTTAATTGTTACATTTCATGTGCCTGGCCGCCATCTTACTTGGTCCCAGTACAAGACAACTTAGCTTACAGTTGTACTACCGGTAATACTAGTACGTAGTTACTACAAGTAGTATTGAGTCTATTTTATAATGGCTGAACAAGTTGCTCAAGCAGGGCAGGCTGCAGCACAACCTGTGGCTGAGCTGATCTGGGGTCAGGTACAGCTGAGAATCACCGATGTTTGGACGGTACGTGGCCTGGCTATAGGTGCGTTCTACCTGGCCAACAGAGCCCTAACCATGCTGGCTGTCCGTCGGGCTGTTGAGAGGAGGGACCCCGACAACCCCAACCAGCCAGCCGACCCAAGGGTAGGGGATGAGGTGCAGCAAGGCTCCCTCCTGGTTCCTGTCTACTTCTACTCTCAGCTGGGCTACCAATACTTCACCTCCATCCTGAACGGCCCCTTCCTCAAGGCCTGCCTACAGACAGAGCTGGAGAAGGTCGGCTATAAGGAGCCCATCGACGTGAGCGTGGAGAAGTGGGAGCTACCAAACCTGCCGGAGGGGGGAGCAGGGCTGCTGATGGGGATGATGGGGGAGGAGAGAGTTCTGGGCTGGCTGGCAGAGTTACCTGACAAGGTGGGCTACTTACTTTTATTTCCACTAGCAGGGAGAAAAAAGTTCATACTCATATCTGAGTTCAAAATCATTGCAATTGTGTCTGTATTTTGTATTGTGTTATATAGGTAAAAGAAGTACTAGGAGTAACTAAATCTGCATGCCCCCCCCCCCAGGTCAGCACAGCAGCAGGGGATTCTGGGATATCTGAGGATGTCTCCTCTGTAGCAGGTGTCTCTACTGTTGCATCATGGGAGGATGTAGAGGAGGAGGCTGGACCATCACAGGCTAAACGAGCCAGACTTCAGCAGCAGCCTCCAGCACAGGTCACACCTACTTCACAGCAGGCTGAGCTACAGGAGGGCCCACTGAAGAGGCTGAGAGCCAGGCTACTGCAGCACAAGGACTCACCAACTGCACAGACACTACTTAAGGCCTACAGCTGCCTGGAGAGGGGGGCGGCCATGCTGACCAATGGGGGGTACCAGGAGGGGGAGGGGGTGGAGCACCTGCTGGAGGGGGTCATACTGCTGGAGGTGGTGGCACCTGAATATGTTACTACATACCTGTATGACCAGTCCTGGCTGCACCTGGACAGACCCAAGTTAAATCAGCTCACTTCCACACAACTCCGGTCTAACCCTGACAGCTCCCCCTGTCTGCTCATACAGGCACTGCAGCTTCCCTTTGGACACAGTCAACAGCAGGCCATAAACCATGTGATCGACGTTGTTCTACAGCATGGAGAAACAGACCCCATGTACAAACATCTGGCTTACATGTACTGTGCTTTAGGCTTAACAATATTTCAGACCACCAGACAACCAGCCCCAGCCTTATCTGCCTTTGCCAGTGCCCTTATGCACAAATCTGACCACCTGCGAACCCTGTTCTTCACAGCATACTGTTCCATGGGTGTGTCTGACCCACAGGCCATCAGGCAGTTTCACCACTTCATCCACACAGCTCCTACAGACCATCACTGGGTGCCTGAGGCTCATTACTACCTGGTTACCCTGTACGGCCAGCAGGACCCATCTGTCCACAGGGACAGAATCCTGCACCACTACAACATGGCCCAGCAGACTGACAGGAACAGGCTGCCTGTGTTTCCACCAGTCCCCAGTGGGGTAACAGACCGTGCCAGGAGGGTGTACGAACAAGTCATGGCACAGCCTCACTAGTGACAATTCAACACAATACAAATACATGTATCAAGACTTGGTGATACATGTAATCTAACTATTCTTACCTGCTATACTGGTATGAAACAACCTATTACATGCTATATGAACAATTACACAATGTAATTGAATAATCTGATGCAAAACAATGGCTTGTTTATTTGTTATACATTTGATATAATAATATAATAATGACTGATAGTGTTTTCTTCTTCCTAGCGTCACTACTGACAATTCAATACCTACCCAAATGTATAACCTTACCTGCTAAAAAAAACAACCGAGCAGATACAAATATACATTCAAGTGTAATAAAAAAATAACCTCGCAATCCTGTGGAACAAAGAAAAATACTTGCAAATAACTTTCTACCTACTAGCTATATAGTAGCTTAGTTTGAAAGGTGGTGATCTCAAGTAGCGTCCAGTTTAATATTACAGTACAAATGCAGTGACAAGAAAACCACAAAGTTGGGGAAGAAGATTTAGACATTGATGCTGTGAGATCTAGAAAAGTTAGAGGTAATCTGGTAGTATGATAATGTGGAGTAGTCGTGTGGCCTTGCACAGTTTACAAGTACATCATAGACAACATAATGTCTTTATCTTGGAGTTATCACTGTACCATGAATGAGTTTTGTTAGCTGTATATGAAATATGCAATGTTTATCATTTTTTATCGATGTTTATCATAAAATTGATGCTAAGAGAAAAGTTAGAGGTAATCTGGCAGTATGATAATGTGGAGTAAAGTTCAAGTTCAAGACTATGCTACATGCAATGGCAATTAGCAAACCGTTATAGGTTAGAAGTTAGAGGTATCTGGCATAGTCTTGCACAGTTTACAAGTATATCACAGACAACATATATATTTTACATCTTGAAGTTATTACTGTACCATGAATGAGTTTTGTTAGCTGTATATGAAATAAGCAATGTTTATAATTTTTTATCAATGTTTATCATACACCCTGCCGAAATCAGTGTCGCGGTATGTGTTGTGAAGAGATCTCTGTGCTCCTTCTAACCCTTAATAAGTACCTAATCCTAAACCCTAACCTGGCCTAAGTAACCCTACTTGCATGTACCTTTAACATGTGACAAAGGCACTAACCTTAGGAAACCAAGCCTGTTTCTCCTGGTCACACTTGTAAACAACTAATGCCATCATAGTAAAACATTGAACTTTATTCCAACACAAGGGTTACAGAGTGATCAAATTTAGAATACTGGACACTGAACAGGACTACTTTTCAAGAGACATTAAGGAGGCAATATATATCAGAGCACTTCAGCCTTCAGATGGTGGACAATATAAACTCCCTGGCACTTTTGATCAATTGCTTACGTCACATATCAGTAAAGTCTCGTGTGAATAAGGTCACGTGTTTGTAAACTGTAACCCTCACGAGATCACGTTGTGAAGTGAGTGGTCACTAATTATCCTGATGAAGGCGACAGTGGTTGTCGAAAATTTGATCGCTCTGTAACCCTTGTGTTGGAATAAAGTTCAATGTTTTACTATGATTACTACCAACACAGATGGACTTTCATGATAACTAATGCCATCATTTAGTCAGACAAATGTCAGACATGCCTTAAGCTTTATCATGTGACAAAGGCACTTACCTTGGGAAACCAAGCCTGTTTCTCCTGGTCCCATGGGGGCCTGCATGGGGGGGTCCCGACAACGCTCTACGCTGAATTCGGAAATCTCTCAATTACACTTTACGATAAATTCCAAGTGGCTACAATGCATTACGTAGAATTAAAATGGCCAAAACGCTCTACGCAAAATACGCCAATTTCGCTCTACGTTGAATTAGAGCGACCCTTCTACAATCTACGAAGAATTAAAACGCTCTACGGAAAAGGGCATGCGGGCCCCCCTTAAGTTGTAAACAACTTATGCCATCATTTAGTCAGACAGGTCTTGCTAGCTGCTCCTGATGCTGACATTGAATCTCCTTAAAAGACTACAGTAAGATGTGCCTTAACGACTGTCACAATCTTTTGCTTGCCAGTTAGCCTGGGTGCCAGACGCTGGCGTTCATAAGCGATAGATTTTTTGTGTGGAAAGAAGCCCTAATGCCCGCTACTGTATCCGCCGCCCAACCCCAGGCTGCCCCAAACCCAATATCTTTCACGCCGGACGCGAGGAGATAAGTAGAGCCAGTGCGCAAATCAGGGTCGGCGGGGCGTGTGGCTTCCCTGGCCGAGGGATTATCACTCACTCGCGGTAGGGGATGGCACCCAGGCTACTTGCCAGTTGGTTTTGGTTGAATAAAGACACGGCCATTAAGTTTGGGCTCCCTAACATTAGCAGGTTTCTTTTTGACTGTAACTAGTCTTCATGTGTGGAGAAATGTGGGCATATAAAGGCTTGCAGCTAGGTGTCAAAAATGTCTGGCTCCAACCAAAAAGTCCTTGTACTTGTTGTACTCATCATCATTTTTTGTATACTGTAGCTATTGGCAATAAGCAGCAGTACAAATAAGTGGTAACGTCACGCATTACAAACTTGCTGTGTACAGGTAACTAGAACTGGGTTGAAGATCTCAGTGTAGTCCATTCACTGCCATTATAATTTATGTGTCCAGGGTTAATGAGTTACCCACATCAAACATTGCTGTTTGACTTGTAACAAGCCAAGCATGAAGACAACAGAACTTTGGAGATACCATGATTTCTGGTAGGAGGGGGTACAGGCATTCTATCATTCCTAGAAGAGCTTTTTACTTACTGATTTTAGTCTACTTTAAGTGACTGATAACATCGCAGCTCTACATAAACCAACTGCCATTGGGCTTTACAAGTCCTACATGTACAGTATTATGTATTGTGTCTTTGAAGTGAAAGAAATATTTATTTTCTCAGTTTCTGACTTTCCTGAAGTTTGTACCCCCCTCAGCAGACAGTGGTAATGACCTGTACACGCCCCCAAAGGCACATGTAAGCAGTAACCCGTTACATTCCAGTGTGCGACTGGCCGCCATCTTACTTGGTCCCAGTAGACAGGTATCTAACAAGACAACTTGGCTTACAGAACTGACTATTTAGGTATAGTTACTACAAGACTACAGAGTCCAACATTCTAGAATGGCTGAACAAGTTGCTCAAGCAGGGCAGGCTGCAGCCCACCCTGTGGCTGAGCTGATCTGGGGTCAGGTACAGCTGAGAATCACCGATGTTTGGACGGTACGTGGCCTGGCTATAGGTGCTTTCTACCTGGCCAACAGAGCCCTGACCATGCTGGCTGTCCGTCGGGCTGTTGAGAGGAGGGACCCCGACAACCCCAACCAGCCAGCCGACCCAAGGGTAGGGGATGAGGTGCAGCAAGGCTCCCTCCTGGTTCCTGTCTACTTCTACTCCCAGCTGGGCTACCAATACTTCACCTCCATCCTGAACGGCCCCTTCCTCAAGGCCTGCCTACAGACAGAGCTGGAGAAGGTCGGCTATAAGGAGCCCATCGACGTGAGCGTGGAGAAGTGGGAGCTACCAAACCTGCCGGAGGGGGAAGCAGGGCCGCTGATGGGGGATGATGGGGGAGGAGAGAGTTCTGGGCTGGCTGGCAGAGTTACCTGAGAAGGTAGGCTCTTAACTTTTATTTCCACTAGCAGGGAGAAAAAAAAATCATATTCATACGTTGCACAAAATGACTTCAAATTCAAAATCATTGTAATTGTGTCTGTATTTTGATAACTGTGCTATATATAGGTAAAAGAAGTACTACTACTAGGAGTAACTAAATCTTCTTGTTCCCCCCTTCCCCCCAGGTCAGCACAGTAGCAAGGGATTCTGGGATACCTGAGGATGTGTCCTCTGTAGCAGGTATCTCTACTGTTGCATCATGGGAGGATGTAGAGGAGGAGGCTGGACCATCACAGGCTAAGCGAGCCAGACTTCAGCAGCAGCCTCCAGCACAGGTCACTTCACAGCAGGCTGAGCTACAGGAGGGCCCACTGAAGAGGCTGAGAGCCGGGCTACTGCAGCACAAGGACTCACCAACTGCACAGACATGGCTCAAGGCCTACAGCTGCCTGGAAAGGGGAGCGGCCATGCTGACCAGCGGGGGGTACCAGGAGGGGGAGGGGGTGGAGCACCTGCTGGAGGGGGTCATACTGATGGAGGTGGTGGCACCTGATTATGTTACTACATTACTGTATGACCAGTCCTGGCTGCACCTGGACAGACCCAAGTTAAATCAGCTCACTTCCACACAGCTCCAGGCTAACCCTGACAGCTCCCCCTGTCTGCTCATACAGGAACTGCAGCTTCCCAATGGACACATCCGACAGCAGGCCATAAACCATGTGATCGACGTTGTTCTACAGCATGGAGAAACAGACCCCATGTACAAACATCTGGCTCACATGTACTGTGCTTTAGGGTTTACAATATCGCAGACCACCAGACAACCAGCCCCAGCCCTGTCTGCCTATGCCAGTGCCCTTATGTACAAATCTGACCACCTGCTAACCCTGTTCTTCACAGCAGAGTGTTCCATGGGTGTGTCTGTCCCACAGGCCATCAGGCAGTTTCACCACTGCATCCACACAGCTCCTACAGGCCATCCCAACGTGCCCGGGGCTCATTACCGCCTGGTTATCCTGTACAGTCAACAGGACCCATCTGTCCACAGGGACAGAATCCTGCACCACTACAACATGGCCCAGCAGACTGACAGGAACAGGCTGCCTGGGCTTGCACCAGTCCCCAGTTGGCTAACAGACCGAGCCAGGAGGGTGTACGAACAAGTCATGGCACAGCCTCACTAGTGACAATTCAACACAAATTCAATACAACAGTACTAGTGAAATACAGTACATGTATCAAGACTTGGTGATAGTCTTAACTGCTATATGAAACAACTAACCTCTTACGTTGCTATATATGAAATAACCTATTACCTGCTATATGAACAATACACAATGTAATTGAATAATCTTATGCAAGACAATGGCTTGTTATACTTTTATAAATAAGTTATAAATAAATAATATTAATAAGGACTCATTGTGTTTTATTTTCCTGGCCTCACTAGTAGTGACACCTACCCAATTGAAATATTCTACGTGAACCTGCTATATACAATAATCTAGCAGACACAAATATACAAGTGTAATAAAAAAAAACAACTTGCAATCCTGTGGAACAAAGAAACGTAATAATATTATTGCAAATGACTTTCTACCTACTAGTAGTTTAGTTTGAAAGGCAGTGATCTCAAGTAGCATCCAGTTATTTCAATACAAATGCGATGACAAGCAGCAAACCTAAGTTGGGGAAGAACACATTGATGCTGGGATAAAAGTTAGACTTAAACTTTAAAGGTAATCTGGCAGTACAATAATGTGGAGTAGTCACGTGGCCTTGCACAGTTTGCAGGTATATCACAAACAACATGTATTACATCTTGGAGTTATTACTGTACCATAACGAGTTTTGTTAGCTGTATATGAAATAAGCAATGTTTATCATTTTTTTTATCGAAGCTTATCATAAAATTGACGCTGTGAGAAAAGTTAGAGGTAATCTGGCAGTATGATAATCGAGTGGAGTAGTCGAGTGGCCTTGCACTGTTTACAAGTACAATCATTAACAACAAAATGTTTTTGTCTAGGAGTTATTACTGTATCATGAATGAGTTTTGTTAGCTGTATATGAAATAAGCAATGTTTATCATTTTTTTATCAAAGCTTATCATAAAATTGATGCTAGGAGAAAAGTTATATAGGTAATCTGGCAGTATGATAATGTGGAGTAGTCGCATGGCCTTGCACAGTTTACAAGTACATCACAAACAACATATATATTCTACATCTTGGAGTTATTACTGTACCATGAATGAGTTTTGTTAGCTGTATATGAAATAAGCTATGTTTATCATTTTTTTATCAAAGCTTATCATAAAATTGATGCTAAGAGAAAAGTTAGAGGTAATCTGGCAGTATGATAATGTGGAGTAGTCGCATGGCCTTGCACAGTTTACAAGTACATCATGAACAACAAAATGTTTTTGTCTTGGAGTTATTACTGTGTCATGAATGAGTTTTGTTAGCTGTATATGAAATAAGCAATGTTTATCATTTTTTTATCAAAGCTTATCATAAAATTGATGCTAGGAGAAAAGTTATATAGGTAATCTGGCAGTATGATAATGTGGAGTAGTCGTGTGGCCTTGCACAGTTTACAAGTATATCATGAACAACAATCATGAATATTTTACACCTTGGAGTTATTACTGTACCATGAATGAGTTTTGTTAGGTGTATATGAAATAAGCAATGTTTATCATTTTTTATCAAAGTTTATCATAAAATTGATGCTTAGAGAAAAGTTAGAGGTAATCTGGCAGTATGATAATGTGGAGTAGTCGCATGGCCTTGCACAGTTTACAAGTACATCATGAACAACAAAATGTTTTTGTCTTGGAGTTATTACTGTGTCATGAATGAGTTTTGTTAGCTGTATATGAAATAAGCAATGTTTATAATTTTTTAATGATGTTTATCATAAAATTGATGCTAGGAGAAAAGTTAGAGGTAATCTGGCAGTATGATAATGTGGAGTTAAGTTCAGGTTCAAGACTATGCTACATGCAATGGCAATTAGCAAACCGTTATAGGTTAGAAGTTAGAGGTATCTGGCATAGTCTTGCACAGTTTACAAGTACATCACAGACAACATATATATTTTACATCTTGAAGTTATTACTGTACCATGAATGAGTTTTGTTAGCTGTATATGAAATAAGCAATGTTTATAATTTTTTATCAATGTTAATATACCCTGCCGAAATCAGGGTCCCTGCATGTGTTGTGAAGAGATCTCTGTGCTCCTTCTAACCCTTAATAAGTACCTAATCCTAAACCCTAACCTGGCCTAAGTAACCCTACTTGCATGTACCTTTAACATGTGACAAAGGCACTTACCTTAGGAAACCAAGCCTGTTTCTCCTGCTCCCACTTGTAAACAACTTATGCCATCATAGTAAAACATTGAACTTTATTCCAACACAAGGGTTACAGAGTGATCAAATTTAGAATACTGGACACTGAACAGACTACTTTTTAAGAGGCCATGTATATCAAAGCACTTCAGCCTTCACTTAATAGAGATGGTGGACGATATAAACTCCCTGGCACTTTTGATCAATTGCTTACGTCATGTATCAGTAATTAAAAGTCTTGTGTGAATAAGGTCACGTGTTTGTAAACCGTAACTCTCGCGAGATCACGTTGTGAAGTGATTGGTCATTAATTATCCTGATGAAGGCGACAGTGGTCGTCAAAAATTTGATCGCTGACCGTAGCCCTTGTGTTGGAATCAAGTTCAATGTTTTACTATGATTACTACCAACACAGATGTACTTTCATGATAACTAATGCCATCATTTAGTCAGACATGCCTTAAGCTTTATCATGTGACCTTAGGAAACCAAGCCTGTTTCTCCTGGTCCCATGGGGGCCTGCATGGGGGGGGGGTCCCGACAACGCTCTACGCTGAATTTGGAAACCTCTCAATTACACTTTACGATAAATTCCAAGTGGCTACAATGCATTACGTAGAATTCAAATGGCCAAAACGCTCTACGCAAAATACGCCAATTTCGCTCTACGTTGAATTAGAGCGACCCTTCTACACTCTACGAAGAATTAAAACGCTCTACGGAAAAGGGCATGCGGGCACCCCTTAAGTTGTAAACAACTTATGCCATCATTTAGTCAGACAGGTCTCCTTGCTAGCTGCTCCTGATGCTGACATTGAACCTCCTTACAAGACTCCCGTAAGATGTGCCTTAACGACTGCCTGATTTTGCTTGCCAGTCGGTTTTGGTTGCATAAAGACATGACCATTAAGTTTGGGCTCCTGAGCATTTAGCAGGTTTCTTTTAAACTGCAACTTCATGTGTGGAGAAATGTGGGCATATAAAGGCTTGTACTGTTGTAGCTATGGTGTCAAAAATGTCTGGCTCCAACCAAAAAGTCCTTGTACTTGTAGTCATCATCATTATTTGTACTAATAGTAGCTATTGGTAATATGCAACAGTGCATACTGGTAACGTCAAGCATTATATACTTGCTGTGGACAGGTTACTAGAACTGGGTTGAAGGTCTCAGTGTACTAGTAGTCCATTCACTGCCATTGTGTGTCCTTGGGATATCGAGTTACCAAACATTGCTGGCAGACTTATGACAAGCCAAGCATGAAGACAACTGAACTTGGGAGATACCATGATATCTGGTAGGAGGGGGTGAAGGCATTCTGTGGTTGCTAGAAGAGCTCTTTACTAATTTTAGTCCACAAGTGACTGATACTACTAAACTATGGCAGCTCTAAAAGATAACATAACCTAACTGCCATTGGGCTTCAGGAGTCCTAACTGTATAACAAATATTGTGTGATTTGTCTTGAAAGGGAAAGAATTATAATTCATTTTCTGATCCCTTCAAGACTGTGAAGACTTTCCTTTAAAAATAAGGCCTAGCCAAGAAAACAACATCAAGAACAGGCTTACGTACTGTACCTGAGTATAAAAACAGCAAACTTAATGTTCCTATAAGACCACTAAACATCACTGAATATGCACTAACACAATTCACATGTGAGTAGAGACATTAACTTTGTAACCCCCTCAGCAGACAGTGGGAATGGCCTGTAGACGCCCCCATAAGCACTCATCCGCTACATTCTGGTGTGGGACTGGCCGCCATTTTACTTGGTCCGGGGACACTTTCAAGAAGACAGGACACACTAACAAGACAACTTGGCTTACGGTAGTTACATGAGCCTGTTTGTAGAACAGCTGAACATTTTGCTCAAGCATTGAAGTTTAAAACTTGGCCTTGGTGTTGTTCAGTGTGACGCTGGGAAGGTTGGAAACAAAAAGGATGGCAGAACAAGGAAGAGAAGATGTGCCTAGGGCAGGGCAGGGTGCAGAATTACAACTACAGCCTATGCAACCACCTGTTCTACAACCACCTGCTGAACAACCACAACCAGTACAACCACCTGTAGCACAACCTCCTGTTCCAGTATTGGAGCTACAGTGGGGCAGGGCTGTCCTCAGAATCTACAATGAACGCTTGGCAATGGGGGTTGGGGTTGCGGCTGGCATTGGAATTGGCATTGCAGCCTTCTACTTTGGCAACCCAGATCCTGCACTGCAGGCGATCCGCCGGGCTATCGAGCGGAGAAACCCTGACAACCCCGACCAGCCAGCCGACCCACATGTGGGGGAGGGGGCACAGGAAGGCTCCCTCCTGGTTCCTGTCTACTTCTACTCCCAGCTGGGCTACCAATACTTCACCACCATCCTGAACGGCCCCTTCCTCAAGGCCTGCCTACAGACAGAGCTGGAGAAGATCGGCTATAAGGAGCCCATCGACGTGAGCGTGGAGAAGTGGGAGCTACCAAACCTGCCGGAGGGGGGAGCAGGGCTGCTGATGGGGATGATGGGGGAGGAGAGAGTTCAGGGCTGGCTGGCAGAGTTACCTGACAAGGTAGGCTACTAACTTTTATTTCCACTACCAGGGAGAAAAATATCATATTCATATCTGAGTTCAAAATCATTGCCATTGTGTCTGTACTTTGTATTGTGTTATAGGTAAAAGAAGTCCTAGGGGTAACTAAATCTGCATGTCCCCCCCCCCTCAGGTCAGCACAGCAGCAGGGGATTCTGGGATACCTGAGGATGTCTCCTCTGTAGCAGGTGTCTCGACTGTTGCATCATGGGAGGATGTAGAGGAGGAGGCTGGACCATCACAGGCTAAACGTGCCAGACTTCAGCAGCAGCCTCCAGCACAGGTCACTTCACAGCAGGCTGAAGTACAGGAGGGCCCACTGAAGGGGCTGAGAGCCGGGCTACTGCAGCACAAGGACTCACCAACTGCACAGACACAGCTCAAGGCCTTCAGCTGCCTGGAGAGGGGGGCGGCCATGCTGACCAGCGGGGGGTACCAGGAGGGGGAGGGGGTGGAGCACCTGCTGGAGGGGTTCATACTGATGGAGGGGGTGTCACCTAATGATGTTAATACATTCCTGTATCACCAGTCCTGTCTGCGCCTGGACAGACCCAAGTTAAATCAGCTCATTTCCACACAGCTCCAGGCTAACCCTGACAGCTCCCCCTGTCTGCTCATACAGGCACTGCAGCTTCCCTATGGACACAGCCGACTGCAGGCCATAAACCATGTGATCGACGTTGTTCTACAGCATGGAGAAACAGACCCCATGTACAAACATCTGGCTTACATGTACTGTGCTTTAGGATATACAATATGGGAGACCACCAGACAACCTGCCCTAGCCCTATCTGCTTGTGCCAGTGCCCTTATGCACAAATCTGACCACCTGCGAACCCTGTTCTTCATAGCATGGTGTTCCATGGGTGTGTCTGTCCCACAGGCCATCAGGCAGTTTCACCACTACATCCACACAGCTCCTACAGACCATCACTGGGTGCCCCATGCTCATTACTACCTGGTTATCCTGTACGGCCGGCAGGACCCATCTGTCCACAGGGACAGAATCCTGCACCACTACAACATGGCCCAGCAGACTGACAGGAACAGGCTGCCTGGGTTTGCACCAGTCCCCAGTGTGGAAACAGACCCAGCCAGGAGGGTGTACGAACAAGTCATGGCACAGCCTCACTAGTGACAATTCAACACAATACAAATACATGTATCAAGACTTGGTGATAATCTTACCTGCTATAATATATGCTATATGAACAATACAAATTGTTATTGAATAATCTTATGCAAAACAATGGCTTGATATATTTTAAATATATAAATAATAAGGACTGATTGTGTTTTCTTCTTTCTGGCCTTACAAGTGACAATTCAACACCTATACTCAATTGAAAAATCCTACCTGGTACATTTGTAAATAGATAACCTAGCAGATACAAATATACATTGTCTGTCAAGTATAATAAGCAATCCTGTGGAACAAAGAAAAATACTTGCAAATGACTTTCTACCTACTAGTAGTTTAGTTCAAAATGATATCAAGCAGCATCCACTTAAATATTTCAGTACAAATGCGATGGCAATTAGCAAACTGAAGTTGGGGAAGAAGACATTGATGCTGGGAGAGAAGTTACAGGTAATCTGGCAGTGTGATAATGTGGAGTAGTCGTGTGGCCTTGCACAGTTTACAAGTAAATGTATATTCTGTATCTTGGAGTTATTATTGTACCATGGGTGAGTTTTGTTAGCTGTAAGCAATTTGTTTATCATTCTTTTCATCTTGTACAAATATGATGGTTAGTATTAAACCTCCTTGCTATGCTTGTCTAAAAATAGTATAATTAAAGGAATCATCATGAACTTCCAAATTGCTGTCTTCATCTTGTTCTGTCACCTGGCTGCCTTTTTGGATAAGAAGGCAACTTGTCTAAGAAGACCAGATTCTATAGGTCCCCAAGGTGGTGGTCTTATACAAGTTTAACTGTAGTTGTATAGTCTTAACAACTTAAGACAACTGTCCCATACCAGGAAACCAAGTTTGTTTCCACCTTAGGGTCGGTGTTAGTGAAGTGATCAAAAAGTTGCTTCTAGACTACAAAAATACTTCCTACTAACTTTTAAGTTAGTAGGAAGTATTTTTAAAAAAGACATACCTTAGGAAACCACGCCTGTTTCTCCTGGTCCCTGTTGTACACAGTGTCATCATTAGGGTCGGTGTAAGCGAAGGGGTCTCAAAGCTGATTATAGACTTCATACATACTTCAAGACTACCTTAAGGCTTTAAAATCTGCTTAAAACGTACCTTAGGAAACCACGCCTGTTTCTCCTGGTCCCATTCTTACACTGTGCCATCGTTAGGGTTGGTGTAAGTGAAAGGGTCTCAAAGCTGCTTCTAGACTTCATACATACTTCAAGACTACCTTAAGGCTTTAGAAATAAAATGTACTGAAGACATACCTTAGGAAACCAAGCCTGTTTCTCCTGGTCCCACTCCTACACAGTGCCATCATTAGGGTCGGTGTAAGTGAAAGGGTCTCTGGTGCCAGAGCAGCCAGACCTCTACTCACCAGTCAGACGGCTACCATCAGTAACCTGTGCCCTACATGTATAATGACTTAATAGAATATAATAAGACAACAGTCCCATACCTTAGGAAACCAAGCCGGTTTCTCCTGGTCACACTTGTACACAGTGTCATCATTAGGGTCTGTGTAAGTAAAACTCAAAGGATCTTCTTCCTCCTGGTGTCGACGCTGGATTTTCTTACAAGACTATCGTACTAGTAAGGAAATGTATGTAATTATTACCCTAAGATGTTCCCTAATGATTTAGGAAAATAAGACAACAGTCTCATACCTAAGGAAACCAAACCTGCTTCTCCTGGTGTTGGTGTCGACGCTGAATTTCCTTACAAGACTATCTTAAGATTTACCCTAATGACTGAAGACATACCTTAGGAACCCAGGCCTGTTTCTCCTGGTCCCATTCGTACACAGTGCCATCATTAGGGTCGGTGTAAGTGAAAGGGTCTCAAAGCTGCTTCTAGACTTAATACATACTTCAAGACTACCTTAAGGCTTTAAAATGTGCTTAAAACGTACCTTAGGAAACCACGCCTGTTTCTCCTGGTCCCATTCGTACACAGTGCCATCGTTAGGGTCTGTGTAAGTAAAAGGGTCTCCCTCCTCCTGGTGTCTACGCTGAATCTCCTCCTGTTGAAGCTGGAACTCAAAATCCTCCTCCGCAGCTGCCATGTTGGGGGGGGGGGCTCTGGGGAGAGAACAGGACTGAGAGTTAGAGAGGGATGGAACAATAACTAGAAGGGTAACATTTGCATTTAGCAAATGAATAATGTCTACCTTCACATATGGTCTGCTCTGTTAATTCTTACTCAAATACATCCACATATAATGGTGACAGGAGTCTAAATCCTTCCTGCTATAAAATTGCAACATTATGTAACTCAACACCAGTTACCATGGTGAGAGACATCAACAAATCAGGTCATTGGCCAGGTCAGAGGTCAGTGTTTGGAATGGAAGATGAAGAAGAGGAAACGTAGCAAAAATAATATGTTTTCCTTCGTTAAACATATATAACAAGATACCAGGTATGGTTAGGGATGTCCCTCGGTTAGGGAGAGCCACACCCCACACACCACACTTGACAAAACCAGCCTCTACAAGAGGGTCTGCATGGGGGGTCCTGATTACGCTTTACGCTAAATTTATGGAGGCCCGCAACGCTTTACGTTAAATTTCCGGAAGGCTGGCAACGTTTTACGCTAAATTTTCGCCTCCTCACTACGAGTAACGGTAAATAAAATGACTTCCCTACGAATTATGGGAAATTATAAAGAGGCCGCCTACGCCTTACGGAAAAGAGCATGCAGACCCTCCTACAATGCTACTGCGTAGCTGGTATGTTATATACGGACAGATTATTATATACCAGATGAATCCAGGAGATTGTTTACTATATACTGCAGCAGTACTGGGATGATTCATGCATCTCCTGATCATATCTAGCTCACTGACAAGCTGATCTTCTAATGGTAGTGACAGGAAGAATGTACAAATTTATACAGACACTACACAGCTTCCTCTTCCTTCTTTCTTTTAAAGCAGCCGCAATTAACTGGCTGAAGATTCTGCTATAATTTGGGTGGGAAATTCCTATATATACTTCTCTCAGCCTTGCCTAAAACCACTTGCACAACGTTGACAGTGTAGTTTGTCGTGACTTCAACACATGTTCTCTTTGGCAGTTCAATCTGTAGACATATAAAATTAGATGACCTACAAGTTACATGTACTTAGGTTTAGGTTTAGGTTTATTTAGATCCACAATTAGCTATGTTATAATATACATGTAGTTCGTACGCAACTAACAGTTTGACAAGCAATGTTCAAGGCAATCTTCTGCGCCAATTCAAGCTAATAATCGTGTTTAGACAAACGAACTAACTCTAGACATGTTTCCACACCTTGCAGCAACATTATACGGTACAATTTGGAGTTACGGTTCTTTACTTTAGGGACACTGCAACTCACGACGACTTCGAATGCCCCCCTCCCCACTTCTCCCTACTGTACATAAATAACGCTGTTGCAGACAAGTTATCCGGCTACCTAAAATATTCTAGATCCTTCTGTTATCACTTACCGTCGGTAGAACCTCTGGCACAGTAACCTACTGGCTGAAAAAGTTGGCGGGAACTCAACTTTACGTCGTCTGTGCGTTCTTCGTTCGAACTATCGTGTACAGGCCTGTTTTACGGCAAGAAAACAAGGACGTTTTGCGGCTTTCTTGTGTCGTGATCGCCCACGGTCGAGGACAAGTGTCGTAAAATTGATTTTGTCCTGTCAATAACGAGAAAATTAGCGCTATTGACATGATGATCCTGTCAACAATAGAAAATATTGCACTACTGACTGGGTGATCCTGTCAATAGTACAGATTTCCAAAAGTTGTCCTGTCAATAACAGAGAGTATTGCACTGGCTACAGTCAATCAACTTTTTTTTGTGCAACAATGAACAACGAGCATGGCGAATGAGCCAAAGTATTGGACATGGCCACCACTAGTGGAATATACACATACACTGCAGTAACTCATACATGTAGATCTGTAGTTTATACAAAAAAAATGAAGGAATAATCTGTATTCATAGATTCACGTTTGAGGGTTCAACCATTAACTCACTCACTCACTCACTCACTCACTCACTCTCTCACTCACTCACTCACTCTCTCACTCACTCACTCACTCACTCACTCACTCACTCACTCACTCACTCACTCACTCACTCACTCACTCACTCTCACTCACTCACTCACTCACTCACTCACTCACTCACTCACTCACTCACTCTCTCACTTATTCACTCACTCACTCTCACTCCGTCCCATAGCTTTAATACTAGTCAACCGTCGGGGCAGCATACTGTTTGGCCAAGGTCTTCCACTGCTGGCGATCAACCATTAACTCAAGACAGTTTTAATAACTTACTTTGTCACTAATATGTCTTCTGACAGTTAATAGTATATTGTTGCACTTTAATCTCAACGCTAGAATAATAGAAAACACTTTACAGCTTAAGCAATTCTCACACACCCTAACAAAGCTCCCAAATTCTCACAAAGGTCTCTTTTCACCAGTATTAGCGATATAAACGTTCTTGTCCTGTCTCTTAAATATATTACTTTGTCAGTTTTGAGAGTCGCCTGACACATGATAACACTGCGAAGAATGAATTCATGAAACACTCGAAAGCTTAGCAGTCGTCACAAAAAGTGATGAAAACTTCAATCGAAGCTCTCTTTCTACCAGTATTAGCGTTATAAACATTCTTGTCCTCTCTCTTTAATATCTTACTTTGTCAGTTTTGTGTGTCCTGACAGGTTAATGGTACATTGTTGCACTCGAATCCCAACTCTAGAATGGATAGAATCACTTTATACTAGCTTAGCAATTATCCCAAATTCTCACAAAACTCTATTTTCACCAGTATTAGTGTTATAAACGTTCTTGTCCCCTCTCTTCAATATCTTACGTTGTCACTTTTGTGTCTCCTGTAAATAATACATTGATGTACTTAACTCTAGAAGGACTGAAATCCTTTATAGCTTAGCAATCCTTACAAAAAGCGGTGAAAACTTCAATCGAAGCTCTCTTTCTACCGGTATTAGCGATATAAACGTCATTGTCCTTTCTCTTTAATATCTTACTTTGT